CAGTGGGCGGGGCTCCGGGCCAGGAATGCCATTGGCCAGTATGGCCATCCATCAGCAGGTGGAGTGGGCAGGGTGAAGGCGGGGCTGCACGCCAGCCAGGCCAAGACCTGGTTCGTACTGTAGGGAAGCCTGGTTGATTGCCGGACTGAGAAGTGACGTTCTGGCCCCTTGATCCTTTTGCAGGTAAGTCTAAAGGGTCCGCTTGTGGTCACAGGCTGGTGGAAGGCAAGTTAGGGAACGCCTGCAGTTCTGGGTGGTCCAGGGCCAATCAGGGCGCAGCAGACCCTGTCCTCTTCCTTGCCTGCTCAGGGAAAGTCCATAACCTAATGTGTACGGGTGAACTGGACAACCAGGCTGTTAATTCCAAATCCGGGCCAGGGAGAGCTCCCTCAACCTGAGTCCAGGGCAAGTCAGGATCTCCTGACCTCGGCCAGATCCCAACACCCCGGCTTGGCCCGTTATGGAAGGCATGAAGGGTTCCAAGCAGGTGCTGGTACCCAGTAAATGTGCACAGTGCTTGAGTGCACCCTTCCACTCCAGGTTCACTCCCACCTGCGTGCAGCCCCACCATGGAGCCTGGCAGCATGGAAAATCTGTCCATCGTGTACCAGAGCAGTGACTTCTTGGTGGTGAACAAGCATTGGGATCTACGCATTGATAGCAAGACCTGGCAGGAGACCCTGACCCTACAGAAGCAACTATGTCACCGCTTCCCAGAACTGGCTGACCCTGACACCTGCTATGGGTTCAGGTACACAGCCAACACAGAGAGCCCCACTACAGCATCCTTCCAAAGGTTTCTGGGACACTGGACTCTGCCACAAAGGTGCTGGCCAGAACACAACAGGGTCCAGCCACTGCTGCCTCTCTGCCCCTTCCCAGGTTCTGCCACCAATTGGACTTCTCCACCAGTGGGGCGTTATGTGTGGCCCTGAATAAAGCAGCTGCAGGCAGCGCTTATAAATGCTTCAAGGAACGGCGAGTCACCAAAGCCTACCTTGCACTAGTAAGTCCTGGCCAGTTCCTAAGATACAGTATGGGGACTCAAGGCTCCTAGCCTACTCCAGCAGGTCCCTCTAACCCAAGCTCCATGTTAGAGGTGGCAGTGTTGCCCTGTAAGTTATACATTATGTCCTTGCTTGGCAGGTCCGGGGCCATGTCCAAAAAAGCCAGGTGACAATCAGCTATGCCATTGGCAGGAACAGTACAGAGGGGCGGACCCACACCATGTGCATCGAGGGCACACACGGTATAGTGGTTGGGATGGGGGCCATGGGCATGTCTCCAGCCTGAACCCTGCATGGATATGAACAGCCAGACAAGTGTGGATTGGAGTTAGCTCAAGCTCTAGGGCTGGCCCAGCTGACCCCCACATTTGCCTTTGTGTACAGGTTGCGAGAACCCTAAGCCAAGTCTCACAGAGCTGTTGGTTCTGGAGCATGGACAGTATGCTGGAGACCCTGTGTCCAAAGTGCTGCTGAAACCACTCACAGGTATGTCCAGGGCAGAGGAGGGCAGGAATCTGGTCATACAAGAAAGGACCTCGAGCTGGGAAGTGGTGGCACATGCCTTTAATCCCCAGGCAGGTGGATCTCTGTGAGTTCAAAGCCAACTACAGAGTGAGTTCCAGGACAGGCTCCAAAGCTACACAGAGAAGCCCTGTCTTGAAAAACCAAAAGGAAAAAAAAAAAGAAAAGAAAGAAAGGATGGACCTTGAGGCCTAGGCCTATACCAGGTGTGTGGACAGAGTCAATAGGAAGATCTTTGCTGGGGTCTGCATGTACCCTGGAGGTTTAACTGAGCTTGCTAGCTAGACCAAATGTCTCTGTAGCTGTGCCCTCACCAATGGCCACCCCAGCCCAATCTCTTGTCCTGAGTTCCAACATCTGATTTGTAGCAAGAGATGTGATGAATCCCATACTAAGGGCTAGACCCGCCCTGCCCCATCCTTCCTGGTGTTGCAGATTTGTAAAGTGGCTATTCACAAGATTCTTTTCTTTTCTTTTTCTTTTTTTCTTTCTTTTTTTTTTTTTTTTCGAGACAGGATTTCTCTGTGTAGCCCTGGAACTCACTTTATAGACCAGGTTGGCCTTGAACTTACAATGATCCACCTGCTTCTGCCTCCCAAATGCTGGGATTAAAGGCGTGCATCACCAAAAAACAAAAAAACTAGCTGGGTGGTGGTGTCACACACCTTTTTTGCCAGCACTCAGGAGGCAGAGGCAAGCAGATCTCTGTGAGCTCGAGGCCAGCCTGGTCTACAGAGCGAGTGCCAGAACAGGCTCCAAAGCTACACGGAGAAACACTGTCTCAAAAACAAACAAACAATAGCATGCGCCTTCACCACCTGGTAGGAGATTCTCTCTTTAAAAAAAGAAGATGTGGTGGCATATACATGTAATTCCAGTACTCTGAAGGTAGAGGCGGAAAGATCAGACTTCATGCCCATCCTTGGCTACAGATGGAGTTCAAAGCCAGCCTGAGCTACATGAGTCTTGGTCTCAAGAAAAAAAAAAAAAAAGAAAAGGGACCAATAAGTTAGCTCAGTGGGTCTAAAGGTGCCTGCCACCCAGTTTGACAACTTGAGTTTGATCCCCAGACCAACATGGTAGAAGGAGAGAAGTTGTCTTCTGACTTCATTTGTACACTGTAGCATCATGCGAGCACATACAGGAACACACACACAATTAAAATGTACTTTAAAGCCGGGCGTTGGTGGCGCACGCCTTTAATCCCAGCACTCAGGAGGCAGAGGCAGGCGGATCTCTCTGAGTTCGAGAACAGCCTGGTCTTCAAGAGCTAGTTCCAGGACTGCCTCCAAAGCCACAGAGAAACCCTGTCTCGAAAAACCAAAAAAAAAAAAAAAAAAAGTACTTTAAAAAAAATTAAGGGGAGAAAGAAAAGAGAGTTGGGGGCACAGGGTAGCTGTAGAATGCTTGCCTAGCATCAACAAGGACCTGGGTTCAAACCCCAGCACTGCAAAACAAAATAGAACTGCAAGGGACTGCCATGATGCTCTAAAGCCATCCCAGAGAACTTGCTAGATACTGTTAAGAGCGAGGTAGGGATGTGATGAGAAATGGTTTATCCCAGCCTGACCTCCTATTCCCTGACCCCACAGGCCGGACACACCAGCTTCGAGTACACTGCAGTGCCCTCGGCCACCCTATTGTGGGTGACTTGACTTATGGGCAGGCTGAGGACCAGGAGGACCAACCTTTCCGCATGATGTTGCACGCCTTCTACCTACGCATCCCCACACAGGCCGAGTGTGTGGAGGCCTGCACACCTGACCCCTTCCTGCCTGCCCTTGATGCCTGCTGGAGTCCCCATACCTGCATTCAACCCCTTGAAGAGCTCATCCAGGCCCTACAGACTGGCCCTGACCCAAACCCTGTGGACGGAGGGCACAGTCCCTCCACACCCCTGGCCAGGCCAGGTCGGCCGCCTCCTGAGACTGAGGCGCAGCGAGCATCATGCCTGCAGTGGCTATCAGAGTGGGCACTAGAGCCAGACAACTGAGGGCCTCTGGGCTTTGGGGTTTGAGAGCTGCTAGACTCAGCAGCCATGATGGCTAGAGGACAGGGCGCTCGGGCTGTGGGACAGATGTCCGGTAGGCAAGTCTTTCTCTCAGCATTCTTCCAGGGAAAGCTAAGTTCTTTCCTCATGGAATAGCTTTCTGCCTCCTAAGCTTCACCCCAGGCTTGCCCAAGCCTTTAGCCAGGAGGGGCAGAGCCAGGATCCTCCTGGGCCCCATGATGCCTGAGAAGAGCCATCCTGGCATTAGCCTAGCTAGGCTCGATTACCTGCAGCCCCCCACCTGCCTCTTGCTGCCTGCCACTGTCATGTGCCTTTGCCTTTGCTGAACTCTGCCAGGGCCTCACCTCCTCTGCCTGCATCCAGCGTTTGGCCCCAATGCATTGGAGTGTGTTGGGGAATCAACAGAGGCGTCCTCCATGCATGCCCATCTCTCCAAGCCTGGTGTGGATGCTGCTTCTGCTCTATGGGCTCCTGGCTGGAGCTTCTGCCATGTCACCACCTGCCTGGCTTCCACATAGCCATAGACAGTCAGTGTCAGCCTTTGGGTCCTTTCCTGGAAGCCTTCTGGGCCTCTCCTATCCACCACAACATGGCCACAGCACCCTAGCTGCAGCTAGGCTCTAGGATTAAGAATAAATGTTTAGTGATCAATCCTGAGAGTGACCACAATATATCTGATGTGGGGTACCCTTGACCCTTCCTTGCTGAATCTGGCAGATCTCCATCCGATGGCTGCTTGGCAGTATCCACTGTAGACCTTAAGGTCATGTCTGCTGCCCTTCCTCACTCCATAGGCAATAAGAAACATGAAGTGGGGGCTTGGGAGTTCTTAATAGGGACCAGAAGTTGGGTCATCAACCCAGTCCCTAGACGGTCCCTCCCAGTTAGAAGCATTACTGTATATAGCAGCTTTCAACCAGGGTCCCTAGAAAAGAAACTGTTCATGTTGGCCTATAGCCTAGGTGCCCAGAGTCCCAGTAATCATAGGAGGGACATCACAAAGCCAGCATTCCTTCTGAGGTCACCTGGATCCTGCTCAGACCCTCCCTACTGCCATACGTCTCCTGGACTGCCACTCTGGGTTGGACTACAGCTGCCATGATGGGCCAGACCAGAAACCACTGCTCGCTAGACGTTGGTAAAGACTACATGGAAGTCAGGGCCATGAGGCCCTTAGCTAGTTGCTTCTGCTTCCTATGCCTGTTTTCCAATCTGTAAAAGTAGCTTAAGAGTAGCTTGGGAGGCTATGTCCATCCCCATTGACCCCTCAATGGCCACTCACATGTTTCTTTGTCTTTCTATGGGGAAATACAGGTCTTTTCCTGTCTCCTTAGGCTCGGGATGTCTCTCACTCAGCACAGGCCTAGTCATAGTGGTGATCTGGAGGGATGTCTCTGCAGACCTGGCACTGGGAGTTGACTTCCCTAGCAGCCAACTCCAAAGCCGCTGCCCTCAGTTCAACAGCTGTCATGCCCGTTGTCACCACACAGGGGCACTGCTGAGTCTTGTCACCAGTGTGTCTGCACCTGGACCCTAACGCATGGGTTCCTCAACTTGTGATGTGGCCAACCTCATACCTTTGCAGTTCTCAGGAGTTCTTCCCTGACAGATCTCAGGCATGGATATACCAAGACTTCCCAAAAAAGGCTTCCCTTGGGAAGTTCAACACTGACAGGCACGTGCCAGAGACCTCGGGGCAGTGCCTGAGTAAGGAGGCTGTCTTCCTACAGGAAAGAACCATTGCCTCTGAGAGTCCAGGTCAGCTTCTATAAGTCACCAAAGGCAAATTTTCCCATTTTGAAGATGAAATAAGACTGGGGATGTAGCTCAGCTTAGCATTCATGGACCCCTGGGTTCCAACCCCAACAGTACATTCAAGCAAGCAACAAACCCAAAAAGCCTTCACGTGGTGGTGCACACCTGTAATCCTCAGGACTCTGAAGCAAAGAGATCTCAAGCTCAAGGACATCCTCAGCGACATAACAAGTTGGAGGCCAGCCTGATACAAGAGACCATTTTAAAAAGCCCTTTTTTGGAGGGGCTGGAGAGATGGCTCAGTGGGTAATGTGCTTGATGCACAAGTGTGAAGACCTGAGTTTCAATCCTCAGAACCTACATAAAGCCAGACATGGTTGGCTTACAGTCCCAAGTTTCTACAGTGACATGGGAGGTGAAGACTGGAGACTCCACAGAAGCTTATGGGCCAGCATGCCATGAACACAACAGTGGACTATAAGGTACTATCTGAAACAAGGTGGAAGAGACAAGGCAAGGACTAACCCTGACAAGGTAGTCTTCTGATCTCCACACATATATGTACTCACACACACATACACATACAAACACACATTCACTCACACACATACACACACAAATATACATACACACACACAAACACACATGCACTCACATACACACACACAAACACACATGCACTCACATACATATACATCTACATACACAAACACATGCGTACACACACACACACACACACACACACACACACACACACAGAGGGAAAGACAGAGATTATACAGAAAAGAAGCAAATCTTCCATGGCAGGTGTCTGGAACAGGAAGCAAAGCAGTGACTGACCCCATGGTCAGCACTTTTCAGGGCACAGGAGCTGCAGATGAGTCCCCAGACAGGCAATACACCTCTGCAACCTCCATGACCTAGCCCACCTCCCAAAAGACAAACCAGTGGGAGCAAAAGATGCACCCTCATGTCGCAGACTCTGCCAGACTTCAGCTTAGTGCCAAGCACCAAGTGGCCTAGGGTAGTACCAGTATGCCAGCCATGGGTTGCCATCAGGGGAGGACCCCAATGACCAGTATTCAGGATCTATCACAATGGCCCGGCACACAAGTTGAGGCCAGGGAGTAAGGAGTGGGATAGATGGGAAGATGGACAGACAGGCAGACAGGACAAGTCGGAGGGAAGGCAGGCAGAAGCCCTGGGCAAGGCCCTGCTCCAGAAAACACTCTACTACTATGTCTGCCTAGAAAATCCTAACTGACCCTTATGGTCTCCCAGGATCCTCTGTTACTATCCATGTGATCCAGCACCTGCTCCCATCCCAGGTGGGATATCCCCCTACTGAGGCTCCAGAGTCCCAGTGGGATACCCACCTTTGCACATCTACCCTCATCCTGTGGCTATGGGGTGGGCAGGGTTCAAAGGGTGGACAGGGTTCAGAGGATAGAGCATTAGACAAGCTTCCTGGAAGAGGGACCTTCTAAGACAAGGCCAACCCAGCCAGCACTCCAGGCAGGGTCAAGTAAAGGGTGAGCAGGGTGTTGAAGACCTTGCCCCAGGGCACTCTGGCAATGGCACTTGCTATGTGCCCTATTCACTCAGCCTCTCTGGGCCCCCATTTTTCTCATCTGGAAAATAAGGATTTGAACTCTTCCAAGGCTGTGGGAGGGTTCAGTTAGCCATAAACATGAGCAAGGGATAGAATGTGACTGTGCCAGCGATGATTCTATCACATGATCATTTGTTCATCTTGGGTCTAGGACTGCCCTAGAGGCCAAGCCCACAATGTGGCAGCCTCTGCCCTAGCTGGAATGTGGGAAGTCTCCTTCAGCCTAACTGGAGGTAGGTGTAGACCCCCACCACATGACACCTCTTCCTGGCAGGTATCACGGTGACCAGAGCCGCGTTTTAAGCCAAAGCAGGCATGTAATTCAGTGGTAGAGTACTTGCCTAGCATGCTCAAGGCCCTAGGTTCAATACCAGGATTAACAAATACAAAAACACAAAAACAACTTCTTACCAAAACCTGTTCCCAGGTCAGCAGTGGAGTTAGAGTGCCACTGGCAGTCTGTCCCTGACCTCAGGTTAATGCTGGGGCTCAGGGTAGGCCTGTGCTCTATGCTTAAGGTCCTTTCCCAAGCCTGTCCCTGAGATCTTGCTCCTCCAGAATGGAGGCCCCTGAGCCTCAGTGTCCCCTCACAACTGCCAAATGTAACTGCTGGAAACCACGATGTCACTACACTGGTCCAGATGAAAACCTAGGAGCCCTGTGAGACCCATCCTTCTGAACCAGCCAAGCCATCTGAGCTCCAGCCTATTAGGGAGCCCACCTGGCAGATCTTCTGGGACTCGTGGGAGGCTATGGTCTGCTCTTACTACAGCTGCAAGCCTCACATGGGGCTGAAAAGCCGGCTTGCTGGTCACTTTGCATTTTGAGTACAGACTGATTATGTAGCTTCAGACTCACACGTCAGGGCCTCAGGGCCCTGGAGCCTTCCTGCCCTCCACAGCCCCTTCCAAAGTCAGAGCTTCAAGTGGGCCATGGTCAGTGCCAGGAGCCAGGGATCAGCCTGGGACAGGTAGGATCCATACTTCAACCCACAGGCAGCTTCCCAGCAGGTAGGCTGGGAAATCCCCCTTGCAGACTTTCCTCTTACTTAGGTACTTCCGAGACTTGCCATCATCTTGGCCCTGGTGCTGATAATGATTGTGTCCCTGAGTAGATCCGTGGGCTGGAATAGGTGTGCAATGTCTGCCTCTCTGCTTACTCTGTCCCACAGCCCACATGTGTCTACATGGCACTGTGTTTTTACACCCATAGGATGGCCACGCCCAGCCACCATACTTGTCTGTGTGTGCCTAATGTCCTGTGTGGGGACAGTTTGCATATGGAAGTTCTGGGGATACATAGAATGTGCAGAATGAGATACACCTATGTGCACAGAGACACCAACACACATGAATTCAGCCCACACACACACACCCCGCACCCTGAGTAAGGCTGGGGGCCTCAAGGGGAAGGTGTGTTCTGGGTGCCTGCCAACCCTGAGCTCAGCCCAAGCTCAGCTTGAGTTTCTCCTGGGGCTGAAGAGCAGGTGCTTGCTATGTATGCCTGGGGCCCGAGGGGTTGATTCAAGCATCACCTGGCACAATCTAGTCTCCTCCCCACAGGCCTGCCTGGCAGATGTCACTGCTAGAGTGGATTGACTAGGCAGGGAAGTCCCATGCTGTGTCCTGGGCCAAGCTTGCAGATGAGCAGAAACCGTGGCAGCTTTACCCACTTCTGCCCTACATCCTGGGGCTCAGCTGCAAGGATTGGTAGAACCTGAGCCTGGATCACTAGTATCTGGAATGCTTGGTTTACTCTAGTGGCTGTGTGATCAGGAGTAGCCTCCTCCCTGGGCCCTGGACATCACCTCCTCTACCAGAGACCACATTCCTGCTCAGGTAAGACCTGTGAGGACAGAAGACACCAACCAGTGTTGCAGGCTGCTAGGTATCTGAGCCTGTTTTACCCCCTACATAGGACAGTGACCTTCCTGTGTGCCTCTTGGACCACATAGAATCAGATCACAGGGGCCCAAAAGTCGTCATACTGTACACACAGCAGGGAGGGGGAGTCAGTAGCACAGGGTAGTCCAACAGCTCTGGCTGGGCCCCCTCTTGTCTCCTAGAACTGGGATCTCAGAGACAGCTGATGCCTGAGGTTCTGGGTCACAAGATATGGGGGCACCTCTCCCCCACTGCCTGGGAGATTTGCTGTTTGTGAGATCTGCTAATTGGAGTCAATGCACCCGTGGGTCCCCGGGGCCCGACCTGTGATAAGAAAGGCCAGGTTCACTAGTTCCCCTCCCCTGCCACTCCCTGTCGTTGTGATGCTTGTTTGTGGGGTTGTTTTCCTCCCCAGACAGGGTCAGGCACCCTGCAAGATGCTGATGCTGGCTTTCTCTTTCTCTTTCTCTCTCTCTCTCTCCCTCTCCCTCTGTCTCCCATAAAACTAAGCTGAGTCACTCCCTGCCTCATCTCCAGCTAGACCTGGACCTACAACCCACTGCCTCTGGGCTTCCCTGCCCTGAGACGCTCCAGCCAGGATGATCAGAACTCTCCGACAGTCCACCTTGGGCTCCAGACTGGGTGAGAAAACACTTCCACACGGAGGGGATTCCCTGGGCCCTTGGGTGGCTGTGGATCAATCACAGTGCTGCAGAGGTGGGGATTCTTCAGGCTCTATCCACCCAATCCACATGAACTCAAACTTGGGGACATGCTACAGGGGAAGGAAGGCAGGAGAGTGAGGTTCCCTGTACACAGGCCAGCTAGTGTACATTGGACATACGGTCCCACCAACACAGGCCTGGGGGTCCTAGTGGAGACAAGGCAGGGCTGTGACCAAAAGGAGCCACCGCTGGTCCAGGCAGCAGGACATAGACCAAGTCCTGTTTGGTAGTCCTAGCATAAGCCAGGCCAAGCTCCAAGGAGGCAAGGAGGGGAATGGTCCACAAAGGACATCAGAGTATAGCCATCTTCCATTGGCCTTGTTGCTGTTGCAGAAGGGATTTTGCTAAGTGTCTACTTTGAGCGATGAGAGAAGCATCCCTGGAAACAAACCCCCTCCTCGTAGGCCGGAGATCCTTTCACGTCCCATTACAAAAACAAGGGGCTTGAGAGAATATGGAGCTAATCCCCTGTCTCTGAGTTTTGGGGTCTTGGTGTTCATATTAATACACAGAGCAGCAATCATGGAGGCACTTACACACATGCACTCGCCAGAAAAGTATGCAAACTTGTAGACACTGTGTGTACCAGAAGACACATACCACATGCAGGTCCAGGCTGTGTACACAGAAACTGGTATGGTTCTACAAACCTCCTCCAGATCCTCTGTCTTAGGAGGAACTGTGGCTGAGGAGGTCACAGGGAGCCCCTACTCATACCCTTACTGCCACTCTGTTGCAGGTGCCCTGGCGAGTCCAGGTCTCGCCCTCCTTCTGTCCCTCACTGCCCACTGCTCTGGTCCTCAGACTAAGGGCTTCCCCAAGGGAGGGCTGAATGCTAGTGAAGCCAACAGGTGAGCAAAACCAAGTCCAGCAAATTGTTTCCTGTGCCAGGGCATGGAGAGGAGGAGTGGTCCTGAGTCCTCTGTTGGTGGTCCCAGGGCAGGGAATATGTCCAGAGTCTACACATAAGGCCCAGACAGGGCTACTGTTTGACAGCTCTGACCTAGGGGGCTTAGCCTAACTTCATTGTCACTGCTGGCCTGCTTCCAGGATCCAGTGTGAGTTATATGCCAGCAAGTCCCTATCCACTGCCAAATGTGTGGGCATACTCACAAGAAGCCTCAACCATCAGAGACTTGCAACTTCAGCCAGTGTCCCCCCAGACGTCTCCCATGGAGCTCTAGGCTATCACCCCTTACTGCTTGTGCCAGGCCCAGGGCCTTCAAGGCCATTGCTATACCCCAAATCATTTTAGCTTAGTCATTTCCTTCTGTCCCAGGCTCTCAGACCTGGACTTGGATGCTCCCCTATTTCTTGGAGTGATGACCATCAATGGGCCAGTCAGTTAATGTGATGATTGGTCAGGCAGGACCCGGATCCCAAGTGGATCTAGCCAAGCCTGGGTTGGTATCAGAAACACCCTCCCACCCGATAGGTGGATTTTATGTCACACCTTGAGAAAGGTCCAGAAGATAGCCTCACCCATGGTCACCCAGCATGTGACTTCATACCCTTCAGCAGCTATCAGGACTGGTCCAAGCCTGAGTTCAAAGTCATCTGAGCCTGAGCCCTAGAAGTGATGGCAGGACCCGTGTTAAAGTCCCATCCAGCTGACAGCTTGGCCCTAGCAAGGTTCTCAAGGAAGGAAGGAAGGAAGGAAGGAAGGAAGGAAGGAAGGAAGGAAGGAAGGAAGAAAGGAAGGAAGGAAGGAAGGATCTTCCCTGTAATGGGTGCTGCCTGCCTCTTACTTCCTCAGTAGTGGAGACAGCTGAGTGATCAAGTCCCCCTTGCAGTATCCAAAGCCTTCCTTACCTTCCTTCCTGGGTCTTTCCCTTTGGACCCAGCATGGCCCCCTCCTTCTATACAGGGGCAACACCTCCCTCTTGCAGAACTTTTGGTGCTTGCCAGCCAGCCAGATGCCCCGGGAAGAGCTCTCTGCTTTACTCAGAAGCCTGGCTTCGCAGAGGGTCCCACTCAAAGCCTGGCAGGTAAGCATTTCCAGGGCTGAACAAGCACAGTTGTTGTGGGCTACCCAGGACACTGGCGAGCATACAGGTGGAAGGGTATTTTGCAAGAACTTGACGTTGGCACACAGCTTCCCTGAAGCAGAGGACTGTCTCCAAGTCATCCTGCCAACCTCAAAACCACGTAGAATGGGCCGGACGGTAGTGGCGCATGCCTTTAATCCCAGCATTCGGGAGGCAGAGGCAGGAGGATTGCTGTGAGTTTGAGACCAGCCTGGTCTACAAGAGCTAGTTCCAGGAAAGCCTCCAAAGCCACAGAGAAACCCTGCCTTGAAAAACCAAAAAAAAAAAAAAAAAAAAAACCAACAACAACCCACCTAGAATGTGACTTTTTGTTTCTGTTTTTAATAATTTATTTAAATTTATCTTATGTACATTGTTGTGAAGGGGTCAGGTCCCCTGAAACTGGAGTTACAGACAGTTGTAAGTTGCTGTATGGGTGCTGAGAATTGAACCTGGATCTTCTGGAAGAACTTTCAGTGGTCTTAACCACTGAGCCATCTCTCCAGCCCCTAGAATGTGACTTTTTGGTGGCCCCACTGTGACAAGAAGTCTGGCCCTTCTAAGGAGACTCTTCCCCTATAGGGCGATCTGGGTGAGCACCCACATTGGGCAGCTCTAGCATGTTTCAGCAAGTCTGTCTACAGGGTGCTTCTGCCTTGACTTGGAATGCTCACAGGCTTGTCCACTGCCTCAGGCCTCTCCCTATGCTCATCTAGGACATGGTGCCTCCTTGGGGTGGTCCAGCCCCAGGGCTCATGAGGGAAGATCTTGCAGCCCATTGGCCTCTCTCTCAACTGGGGCTGCAGGAGTCTGCTGAGCCCACTTAGTCCTACATCACCTGTCCATGTTAACAGAAAGAAAGAGCTAGACACGGCATGGGCCTTTAACCTCAGCGCTTGAGGGGCTCTGGCAGGAGAACTAATTTGAGGTTAGTCTGAACTGTGTAGAAAACTCCTCTATTTTTTAACATAATATATGTACACCACAAAGTGTCCAGATACACATGACACAAATTGATAGAATGGACAAAGGACATGTGAATCTGTTGTGGTAGCCAGTGACATCCACTGCCTGTCAGGCCAGGACAGGTGCAGCAGCCGGGATCAAAACCATGAAGAGTTCATTCAGCATCTCAATCAAGTACATGGAGCTGATATGTGCGGAAAACCTTATCCCACAACAACAGAATGCATACCAAGACAGACGCATCTCTGCTTCTAAGATCTACCTTCCCCAGCTTTACAACGTAGACAGCATCCAGTATCTGTTCTCAGAGCACAACAAACTTGAGCAAGAAATCAGTTGCAGAAAAGTATGTAGAAAACTCACAGATACATGGAAATCTTTTTTTAAAAAGGAGATTTATTTTATGTGTGTGGCTGTTATGCTGCCATGTATGTATGTATGCACACCACATGTGTGCCTGGTGCCGGAAGAGGTCAGAAGAGATGCCCCAGAACTGAAGTTATGGATGGTTCTGAGCCATCATGTGAATGCTTGGAATTGAACCCAGGTCGCCTGGAAGAGCAGCCAGTACTCTTAAGTGCTGAACCATCTCTTCCGCCCATGAACAAACAACACACTTTTAAATATTACTTGAGCCAAAGAACTCTCAAGATTTTTTTCTGGGAGTGGGGGTCTCATGTATCCCAGCCTGGTTTTGAACTCACTGTGTGGCCAAGGATGACCTTAACTCTTTTTCTTTTAAAGAGTTTCTAAAGTATTATTAATATATATGGGTGTTTTGCCAGCACATACATCTGTATACCATGAATGTGTGCAGTGCTTGAGGGAATCAGAAGAGGGCATTGGATCACCTGGCACTGGAGTTACAGACAGTTGTTAGCCACCATGTGAGTGCTGTGAGCCAAACTCAAGTTCTCTGCAAGTACTGCTGATCACATGCCTACCTCAAGAGCCCTCAGCCCTGAACTTTAACTCTTGATCTTCCTGTCTCCACCTTCCAAGTGCTTGGGTTACAGGTATGACTGCCACATCTTCCATCAAGACAGTTGGAAAAACAATATGTTTTTAGCTAAACGAAAATAAAAATAGAGCCTGCTATGCTGTCACCCCAGGCCTCCAGAGACTGATGCAAGAGGTTTGGAGCCTAAGCTACAGAGTGAGACCCTGTCTGGAAAAAAAGAAAATTTATCAAAAACTGTGGGGTACAGTGAGAACAATGGTTGACTATGGCTTTGAATATGTGTGTTAGAAAAGAGACAGATGTGGGTCTTGCAAGATGGCTTAGCTGGTAAAGGGATTTGCCGCTGAGCCTGACAACCTGAGTTGGATCCCAAAACACAGATGATAGAAAGAGAACTGTCTCCTACAAGTTGTCCTCTGACCACCACATGCATGCCATAGTATGTATGCAACCCCACTATCACCACAATAAATAAACAAATTAAATGTTAAAAGAAAGTATCTGAACTCAGCGGTGCAGTTTCCTATCGGGAAACCAGGAGAAGACGAGAAATAGAAGAGATGGAAGGATGAAAGCTGGAGGTAAAAAATGAATGAAACCGGATGGAAATCATCAATGCCACAAGCTGCTCTTGTGAAAAGGTGAAGAGCCCCCCAGCCTGGCTAACAGAGAGGGAAGAGACACAGATTATCAATAGTGGAAACGAGCAAGGGCCATTTGTTGCAGGCCCCTTGAAAATAAAGCGATTGTAAAGGGATCTGTGTGCACAGGTGTGACAATGTAGATGTAACGAACCAGTTCCCTGAAAGGCAGATCTGTCAACAACCACATGGGGACATGGAGACAGGTCATCAGAACAGGCATGATTCTATGTCTGTCTTCTCAGTACGCAAGAGAGTCTTGAGTTCACATGGCCAGACAGGTTACACAGTGAAACCCCTATGAAGGAGGGAAGGAAAGGAAGGAAGGAACTAATGAATGACCGAACAAACGGAGGAAGGGAGGGAGGGAAGGGAGTCAACACTCCCTAGGCAAAGCTGACCTACTTTTAATATCCGTGGGGCCATTGTCTTAGATGAGCATTGTAACCTGTACAAGGTTGACTGACTACAAATCTAATTTGAACATCTGTGGATTTTTTTTTTTTTAAACAGGGTCTCTACATAGTTCTGGCTGCCCTGGAACTCACTCTGTAGACCAGGCTGGCTTCCAGCTCACAGACATTCTCCTGCCTCTGCATCCAGAGTGCTGGGATTAAAAGTGTGCACCCACCGGGTGTGGACCCGGCTCATCTCTGGCTTTTAGCGGCAGTCCATTCATTTGCCTCTCTCAGGACTGTCTCAGACCTTGTTTTTCTCTCTGCCTTCTCATCTCTGAGCTACTACAGGTTTTTTTCCTCACATATATCTCCAATTCCTTCTTAAAGTGTGCCTTCTCCTGAGGGGAGTAGGGGCTGAGCAGTGTCCCACCAGGGCCAGTCCACACTGGACAGATGGTGACCTACTGTCCAAACTCTGCCCCTGCTCAGCTTAGCTGCTTGGCCAACCTCGCTGCACAGCAAGGCCTTCAGGATGACTTCGAGTTCTACCCACCCAATCTCCTACTTTTCTACAAGTGAGTGTCCCTGCTGTGGCCTTCTCATTTCTGTGCCTGCCAGCTGTGGTTGGGCTGCCTCCTCTGGTCTTGGGCTACCCTGGAGACACTAGGAAGGCTATTGGGAGGCCCAGTCCAGCCTCCCTGACATCCCTCCACTTGTTCTCAGTCTGAGCCAGGTGAGCGAAGCCAACTGCCGGGCCTTTATTCACCATGCTGCCCAAGGGGACACAGAACTGCTGGCCAACTTGCCCAACCAGAGAGTTGCCCTACAGCACACAGCCTTGGCCTGTCTGGTAGGTGCCTCAGGTGAGGACAGGATTGGGCAGTGAGGCCAGGCCATCTGTTTAGCACTGACCTACTGTCCCTGCAGGGGAGACCCCACCTACAGCTCAGTGCCTCAGACCTGCGGCTTCTCGGGGTCCTGGTATGTGACCTGGAGGCACCCCAAATCGTGACTTCAGACCCCCATGTGCTGAAGAACCTGCTTCAATGCCCGAGGCTAACTGTCACACAGACTACTGCCTTCAACACCCTGCTGGCCAGTGGGAAGACACAAATTGGGTGGGTAGGGAGTTTTGAGATCAGGGTAAGGGTGGACCAGGGAGGCTAGAGGGGTTCCCTCCTTGAGATAAGATGGGAGGGAGCTTGAGGTTTGAACCCAGGATGGTAGGGATGCCTTCCTAGAGTCTTGCTATTTGAATCCTGACCCAGCCCCCACCCCACTCTGACATTGCATGCTGAGGCATGGAGGCACAGGGTTAAGGGTGCTCCCACCACGTGGGGCTCACAGCAGAACAAGTCCCTGTGACTTTAGGCACTGGCCAGGAGATAAGGGCCTGTGAATATTCTGCCAGCCTGCTTAGGGGGTGGGGTGACATGTCAGGTTCCGACACAGCACCCTTTCCCATGCACCAGGCCTCCTGGCTCCTGGAACCTGGAGGAGCTGAAGGCCCTAGGACCTCTGGCCACCTACATCAGCCCCCACCTGTGGGAGAAGGTGCAGGAGGTAGGAGGGAAGCTGGAGTGGGCACCAGGGCCATGAGTGCCACACAGCCACTCTGAGTGGTGGCCCTGGGTGCTCCTATCACCACAATATAGCCTGTGGGACAGAGGGAGGGACTAGGCTGGCTATTTGAATCTGGGAATGGACACACTTGCCCCTGCCAGGCTGTGGGCTTGGACTTCTTCCGCAGTGTGGTGGCTGCTTACCGGGCAGGCCAGCTGAGCAGGCATGATACCATGCGCTTCATCACCAACTTCCTGGAGTCCAAGGCCAATTCAGTGTCCTCAAGGCTCAAGCGGCGCACAGGTCAGTGTGACCAGGGTGTACTAGGGACACTATGCCTCCCTCAGTCTAGACTCCTAAGTTTGGCCTAGTCTGGGCCAAGCGTTTGTCTAGAGACCAAGAATGAGGAGTAAGTCAAGGTTTAGTTACAATCAGAAGCAGAGGGGGCTGGGCATGGTGGCACTTAAGGGGCCAAGGTAGGAGGATTTTAAGTTTGAGGCCAGCTTGGGATACATAGCAAGACTCTGTCCCCCAAAAGCAATCAGACAAGAAAAAAGTGGAGACCAGAGTCTAAAATGGGTCTTAAAGCCAGAAAGTTGTTGGTTCGGGGCTTCACCAGCCAGCCTGCTTATCAGCACATTCTTCAGGGAGCGCCTGTGTCCGTGGCAACATCACAGCAGCCACCCTGCATGATGACCTCTTCCTGGTGCACTACGACTGCACCCAGCTGGAGTCCTGCCTGGGCACACGTGTGCTCAGGGCCAACCTGGACCCCTTACTACAACACCCCCTGCCTGCAGAGTGCCAGCGTGTTGTCAAAGCCAAGCTCGCTCAGGTGTGTGGATGGTCATTATGGGGTGGAGGCTAGAGGGCTCAGCTACAACTTAAACTGCCCACCTGCCTCAGATCTACCCACACGGCATTCCTGAGGACCAGCTGCGCCTCATCACCTCGCTGGTCTACCTCTACTCCCTTGCTGAAATAGGCCAGTGGAACATCACATCTGGAGACACAGTGATGGTCCTGCTGGCCTCAGATGCAGCTCTGGAGAACCAGACAGAGGTGAGAGCTGGTAATGGGGCTGAAGCTGGCTGTTCTGGTTTGCCCAGAACCACTGACCCTGGGCCTGCCCCTAGGCAGTTCTACAGAAGTACTTGGACCATAATGGCAAGGTTACTGGCGCTCTTCTGGTGGCCATTGGGGGTTCCCGTCTCTGCTGGATGAGCCTCAAGCAGATCCAGATCATCCAGCCCTCGGAGTTCCGGTGAGTCTCCCAGTCAACCACCTTCCCAGCAAGAGACATAGGGGAAACTGAGGTTGGGGAGAGGGGGTGGAATGGTCCGAGCCAGGCTATCAGAGGCATATTGGACCACCATAAGAAAATGTCACAAACAGCAAGGGAGACAGCACAGGGACCTGAGTTCATGTCTCCAGCACACAGCGTAAAAATCTGAAGCTAACAGTCACACCTGTGATGCCAGCAATCTATCTGACCAGTCTAGCTGAAATGATGAACACCAGGCCAATGTCCCCCAAAATAATTGCTAATGAGGAAGATACCTGGAGTCAACCTCTGGCCTGCACACATGCACACACACACACACACACACACATACATACACACGCAGGAACACGAACACACACAAAGAGAGTTAGCAAGAGGGTTCAGAGGGTAAAGATGCTTGCTGCCAAGTCTCACAACCCGAGTTCAATCCCTGGGTCCCACACAGTGAAGGAGAGTACTGACTTCTTCAAACTCTCCTCTGACCTCCACACATAAACTGGGGTGCCCATGCACATGCACACACACACACACACACACACACACACACACACACACACACACACACGAATAATATAAAAATGATTTTAAAATATATAGAATGAAGGAAAGGAAGTGTCACAAACCAAGTGACTTAAAATGAGAAATATATTCTCTAGGACTTCTAGAGGCCGGAGTGCGATGTCAGAGTGTCCGCAGGGCCAGGCCCCTCGGAACCTCACAGGAAGGCCTTTCTTGCTCTACCTGTGTGTCTGTATCCAAAAGCCCTGCTTATCATAAGAACACAAGGAAGTTAGGCCAACCTAATGCAGTGGAACTTCATCTTCTACTCTGATTTCATCTGCCAAGAGTTTATTTCCAAATAAAGGCACTTTCTGAGGTACCAGATGGATTTAAATTTGGGGGGTTATACTCTCACCCAGTACAAGGGACAAGAAGAAATCTGTGTTTCAAGGGGTAGAGGCTATACTCAATGGCCCAGGTCAAGGGGCTTTCAGCCTATTCATCTGCTCATCCTACTGCCAGACTTGCTGGGGCTCCAGACATCTCTCCCTGCCCTCAGAGTCGGAAGGATGTGCTCTTCGCCAAGGCTCGTGAGGTCTTTAGGAACACCAGTACTGTAGGAGAATACTACTACTTAATCCGTCCCTACCTTGGTGAGCTCTTCACTGTGTCTCCTCTCCCCTAAGTCCTCTACCTCTCCTTAACATGCCCGCTACCTTTGCCCTGTGTGTCACCACACACACACACACACACACACACACCACACACGGAGTCCCTCTACCTCTTTGTCTCTTATCACTGCTCTCTCTAGGTGGTGCCCCCTTGGAGGAACTTCAATACCTAGCCCAGGCCAACATCTCCATGGACATTGATACATTCACCAGCCTCAACCCCTTCATGTTGAAGGTGGGCCCAGGGGCTGCCTCTGTTTTGTTTTGTTGAGATGTAGCCCAGGCTAGCCTGGAAGTCACTATCCTCCTGCCTCAGTGTCTTGAATGCTTGGGTTACCACATTGCCTGGCTCAGACTCTGTCTCTGTGGGGTGGGGTTGGCCAAGCTGGGAACCCCAGGTCTCAGACCCATATGTTCCAAAGCCTGAGGAGTGCAGATGACATGTGACCTCTGCGCCCCACAGTCCTCACCCTGCTCATTCCTGGGAGCAGCTCTCACCTTGCTGGGTCCTTGGCTGGGGAAGGCAGACCCATGGATCCTCACATCTCTCCCGAAAACCTCTGGTTTCATTTACAGAACATGAGTGTGGACAATGTGAGAAATCTGCTGGGCCAGAATGTAGGGGACTTGCAGAAGGCCCGCAGCCATCCAAATGTTATCCTGTGGATGCACAGCCACAACATGTCAGACCTGTCGGAAATGGGCCTGGACACCAGCCCCACCCTGCCCTATGTGACCAACAGGCCCCCTAACACTGCCTACCCACCGTCCGCTTTGATCCACACCTCGAATCTTCCAGGGAATGATGGTGTTGCCCCTGCCTCAGGTATGGTCCACTCCCCTTGTTCCCATCCTTAGGGGACTCTTGGCTGTCTATGCTTTTCATTTGCCCCCTGGGGGGTCTGCCATATGTCACAGGTCGTTGCCTGATGAAACATCTATAGTGATACAATTGCCTACTTCCAAAACCCATTAAATGAGGACCAAGCCTGGTGGCCCAAGCTACTCAGGAGGCTAAGACCAGAGGAGGACTGCAAGTTCAAGACCTGCCTGAGCTACAGAGAAAGTTTAAAGCTAGCCTGGGAAACTTGGAGATGTGTGTGTGTGTGTGTGTGTGTGTGTGTGTGTGAGAGAGAGAGAGAGAGAGAGAGAGAGAGAGAGAGAGAGAGAGAGAGTGTACGCACACACGTATGTGTATGTGTACACACACATATATGGGGGTGAAGAGAGCTGGGGATGTAGCTTAGTGGAAAGAGCTTGCTTAGTCAAGTACAAGATCCAGGGTTCAATCCCCCAACACCACAGAAAAAAACAAATGCCCCCCAAAAGACAAACCACAAAAAGGGACCAGGCTGAGACCAGAAGAGCAGCTATGGATCAGGTCCTCACTGACTCTCATAGCTATCACCACCACAAAGGGAAGGATGACAGAGGGACTCTGGGGGTGTCTTCTAATCAGGACTGATGGATCCCTTCCTTGTTCTATCAGCAGGAAGCCCTTCATTTCATCTTGGGTACCTGTCACTTGCTGTGGCTGTGCCTTCCAGCCTCTTGTGGCTGCTACTGTGTGAAGCACCTTCAGGGCCAATAGGCACTGCTCACAAGGCACTAAGACCCTGGACACTGCCAATGGTGCTGACCCAGGACAGTCAGACCCCTGAACATCAGATACAGGAGCAACGGAGCTGCTAAGTGGAACAAGACACCCACCTAGGCTGAAGTACATGTCCCAGGCCCCAGGAGACCTGCTGTGTCCCCCATCCTAGGAGACTGGCTCTGGTACACACCTCAGCTCTGAGGATCAGGGCCCATAAGGAGATAGAATGTCCCCAGCCACAAGAACAGGTTGGTAGGAAGAGACAGGGTCCAGATCTTTTGACCTATTCAAATGGAACTTGGTGTCACTTCAATGTCACTGCCCTCACTGGTGGATCTGAATAAAGCACAAGGCTATTATTGTACAGCCCGTGTCTCCACTAGGGCCTTGTTGGGGACAGAATCCTCTTGGCAGAGCCCAGACCTGAGGTGGTGGTCTCCCACACACCTCAGCTGGGGTCTCAGGACTTCCACTACCTCGGATGGCCCCAATCCCATCAGGAAGGCTTTGAATACTACCACCTACCTGCAGGCCCATTTTTCATCCCTCTTTTCCCTTTCTTTTTCATTTTTTAAAATATTTATTTTATTTTCTATATATTAGTTGTTTTGCCTACATGTTTGTCTGTGTGAGGGCATCAGAACCCTGGAACTGGAGTTATAGACAATTGTGAGCTGTCATGTGGGTGCTGTGAATTGACCCTGGGTCCTCTGGAAGAGCAGACAGTGCTCTTAACTGCTGAGCCATCTCTCCAGCCCCCATCTTTCTTTCTAAGAGAGTGGGAGGGATGAGCACAGGGAGCTGAATTTGTTTGATGTCTGTGATCACAAGAACCTTCAAAGTCATTCTCTTGAGTGGTTGGGAACACTACAGGACATCTCAAGGGGGCACATGCCACTGTTTATTGAGTTCAAGAGTCCTCAAACTTGGGCAATAACCCCTGGGACCGGCTCCTGGTCAAGATGGGGCTCCACAGTAGGGCTGGGGCCAGGAGCCTTAGGGGTGGTGGTCTCAGCTCAGTATAAAAGCTGAGAGCAAAGCTGGAATCCATGCAATTACAAATCCTGGTCCAAGAAGTGGGGCTCCACTGGAGAAGGCCTCTGCAAGGAGAGGAGGCAGATCAGGCTCCTGAAACCATCCCCCAACTCTGCCCCTGGGCAGCCCAGCTCACCTCGGACATTGAGGTCTAGAATCAGGTAGCCATTGGGGATGCCACCCTGAAGTCCCAAACCCAGCCTGTCCAGGTCTTCCTGCCGCTGCTGGAAGAGCCAGTCCCGGACAGGGCTTTTGTCCTCCTCGGTCTTCAGATCCGCAATGTGTGGCCCTAGAAGTTTCTGTACCTCAGCCACAGTCAGCCCCTGCCAGAGCATGGGGTAGCCATCAGGGTCTCTAAGCCCCCAGAAGGTTGGAGGGTCCACTGTGAGTAAACTGCAGCCCACAATAACCTCAACTCCTGTATACAAGGGGTCCCTTTGCAAGGCCACCACGCCTCTTCCAGCAGGGCCTGTCCAAACTCCTCCCTCATGAGAGAGGCTCAACCCCTCTCATGAAGTCCTGTTTCTTGTTCCTCCTATACCTCCACTTTACGCCAGGCCTTCCTCATGAAGCTCTACCCAACAAAGGCCCTTTGTCCCACATAAGGACCATCCACACAAGCCCTTCTCCTCAGGAGGCCTGACCACTTCCTGTAGGGAAGTGAGTTCCACCCCCACTTACCACCAGGGCATCCACCTGCAGCTTCTTGAAAGTGGCTAAGTCCATGCTCAGGTTCTGCTGGCTGAGGGCCCTCAGGTCCTCCACAGAGGCCCCACCTGCAGGTTCAGAGCCCCAGTTTGAAAATCCACAGTGCAATATAGTCCCACTCTTGGCTATAAGCATACTTAGTTTCTCAGGGCCCAGGCAAACTTCTATGTCCAACAACCACCTGGACCATTGGGATCAGAAGGGATGGGAGAGCCAGAATCATCAATTCCAGATCCCACATATGCCTAGGAAGCCCTGGGTGTGGCATGGGCAGGATAGGACTTGGGGTCTACAGTGCCCCCATTGTACCCACCAGTATGTGCCTTGACTCACCCAGGAATGTCCTGATTTTCTCAAAGTATTCCTGCCTGCTTGAATTCTGAAAGGCCAAGCAGGCCTTTTGATAGAGAATATCCAGATGCCTCTGGCTGCAATTGTTCAGGTCTTGGGGTTTAACCAACCTGGGGGACATTGTGGGATATGGCAGTTATTAGGAAGCTCTGAATATCCATTCAGCCCTGAAGAGCAAACTGGAGCTCACCACATAAAACTGGAGGGTATAGAGTGCAGGTTCTGGGGTTTGAAGTCACATAAGTAGGTTAAAGGGATGTCATCCATGGCTTTTACTATGTCCTGGTCTAGATGGCCTCCTCCCCGAAGGTAGCAGGCAATCAAGGCAGTCACCTATGGAAGAAGCCACTAAGGCACCTTGGGGCAGGGAAAGAAGCATCCCCTCATCCAGCCACATGTCCTCTGGGGTAGATGTTACCTGAGCATCCATCTTTTGTCCTTTGGTGACTTTGAGAAGAGTTTTCACTGTGTCTGGAGAGCTCACATTCCACCGGTGGATGTCCTCGGGGCTGATGTATCGGAAGAAGTGACCCAGCTGCTGGATCAGGGACTCAGGATAGCCTTGTGGGTAGGTCTATGGAAGAAAGTACCATGAGGGCCAGAGCAACTCCTAGGGCCATTGAGAAAAGAGTTCTGGGCACAGCAGACGGATAGAAGCCCATTATGAATTACCTCGTCCAGTTTGTGCTTGAAGATGTCGAGCTGCTCATAGGTGAAGGGAATCTCATTCACAAGGTCCATCTGGGTGGCTAGCATGGCACCATCCACACAGGCCTCTAGCTCCCAATTCTGGTAGAAGATGAGGTTTTCATCCACCTTGTGGGGCTCCATCCCTGGAGGGCAGGCTTTCCCTGGAGGGGCAGACAAGAGTCAGAGGCGATATGCGCCTCTCAACTCTCCCTCCTCCCACAACTACCACAGCACATCGGCCTCAGTTTACCCGCTGACAAAATGGTGTGATTCTATTCACCCTGTGAAGTCACAACTGACCAAGCTGAGAAGCCTGGAAGGGCCACTGGTAGGAGCAAATGAAACTCTACAATTCTAGATCCTTCTCCCTAGTGTCCTGTCTCAGGTTGCTACCAAACAGACACGGCTCTGGACTCACTCTCTGTGTCCCGCCGGAACCTTGGGATCATGGCAGTCAGCTTAATCCCCCGCCAGGAGGGGCCACGGGAGATGTGTTGCAGCCATTCAGCTTTGACATCCTGAAGATGGAGCATAGTAGATTGAGCCTCAAAGTCCAGCATCTTCAATGAGAAGCCAGGTAGCAGGGCTTTACCTTGGGGATGCTGTGGATGATGGACTCATCCAACACTGTCAGCAGGCCCTGAAGAGCATTCAGGGTGGAGACTGACCACCTCGATGGGGGGCTGTCCAGAAACAGAGGCCCAGCTCAGTGACCCAGAATGTGGCCCCAGACAGAGATCGCAGAGACAGAAACTGGGTCAGACAATGCCTCTGCTGAGCCGTTGAGGAGTGCAGCCTCCTAGGGAACAAGACCTGACAGGATACAGCAGGGGATACATGGCCCTAGGAAACCCATTCTGGCTATGGATATCCTCACACAGATCTGTCCATATGCTAAGCCATTCCTACTCACCCGTATGGGGATCTTCCACTCCTCAGAGCTTCCCTGACTGCCTCTTCCTGGCCCTCATTCAGGGGTCCTCGGCAGCCTGCCAGCCAGGGGAGGAGGACTTCCGAAGATTTGACCACATATTTTCCAGGCAGGTCACAGACCAGGCCTCCGAGAGCCTTCGCATCTGTCTCACTCAGTTGAAAGCTATACACGCCCTGCACACACAGCCGGCTTCAGAACCTTAGGGAAACCACCAGGCCCACTCTGTGCTTTGTCTCTACATCTAGTAGATGGTACCATTCCATACCTGGCATTCCAGAGCTCTAGGCAGCAGCCTTTGGCGCTCCAGAGACCTCTGTGGGAGCAAATCTATATTGGCTTTAGAGATGAGAGAGAAGAAGTGGACACAGGCTTGTTGCCCTCGAAACATGGCTGGGCTGTGGAGAGATGGTATGTGGATTACTGCACACACACACACACACACACACACACACACACACACACACACAC